GGGAAAGGACCTTGAGCCAGAGCTGATACCATCTCCACCCTCAGCACCCCTAGGCACAAAACCGAAGTCCCAGCCAACCGCCGAGACTCCAGACACTGCTGAATCACTTGCCCGAAACAAACTCCAAGGTTTCAACTGGTACTGGGACACCTTCCCTCCGACAATCGCCCAGAAAACCACCGCAAACACCTTCTTCAACACCCACGGTCGCGCTGCAAAACTCCTGCGAAGCGTCGCCCAGTTCCGCCTGTTCCCCGAATCCGATGTGCCAGAAGTAGCTTTCGTAGGCCGCTCCAACGTCGGCAAGTCTTCGCTCCTCAACGCCGTCATGGGCGCCGATATAAAGGCCCTCTTAGCACGCACCTCGTCCACCCCCGGTTTCACAAAGACGATGAATCTGTATGGCGTCGGCGCAGGCAACGGCGTTACGATTAAGAAGACGACGCCCAATGGGAGAGAGAAGATTGTGGGGATTGGAGGTATGACGATTGTTGATATGCCGGGGTATGGAGAAGGGAGTTTGGCCAGCTGGGGAGCGGAGATTATGAAGTACATTACGAATCGGAAACAATTGCGGAGAGTCTTTGTTCTGATCGATGCTGAGCATGGGATCAAGGATAAAGACCGCTCGCTGCTTGCTTCGTTACGATTAGCAGGGGTCAGCCATCAAGTCATCTTATCTAAATTGGACAGAATCTACATTCCTGATGCCAAGGAGATTAGGCGGCATGATGGGAAGGCGCTGAGGCGTCTGAGTCCGAAGGGTACAATCGAGCAACTTAGGAAGGCGATGGAGAAACTCAAAGCGGATATTCAGCCGCCGGTGGGTGGGGGTGCGCTAGGGGAGGTATTAGGGGTTAGTGCGGAGACGATGGTGGAAGGGAAGAGGTTGGGAGTTGACCACGTAAGATTTGCGGTATTGAAGGCAGTGGGGTTGGATTCGAAGTATCAGAAGGAAAGTGCGATGAAAAAGGAGAGTGGTATTGATCAGAACACTCTGAGTTGGAAGTAGAAAGATGAACCAAAGGCCAGAATTTACACACCTCCCCTACCATGAGCTCTTCATAAGCGCCTTATAACTTCGCCCGCAGCTCGCGCTCTGGTATCTCAGGTAGAGGCGACTCCAAACTCTTTGGAATCAAATGTTCTACATCGCCTATGTTGAGATAGCGTGGATGGCATTGCGAAAGCGATGTTATGCCCAGTAACCGCATCGTCGTTTCCAACTCGTCTTTCATAATGTCGATAAAGTGCTCCACACCTTCTTGCCCGTATGCCAACGAGTACAGGAACGGACGACCCATACCAACAGCCTTTGCTCCTAGACATAGAGCCTTGACTATGTCTGTTCCGCGTCGGACGCCACAGTCGAGGTAAACTTCCAAGTGGCTGAAAACCTCAGGGTGGTGGCGGCGGATCTCGAGAAGCGTCAGTAGGGAGGGTGGCGAGCTACGACATGTCAGCACAATATCCAGTTGATGCAGATCATTGGATGTAGGAGTCTGGCATACGTGTCTAGATTACGTCCTCCATGGTTGGTTATTACGATACCATCTAACCCGTGTTTCATAGCTAATACTGCGTCTTCGGCTGTTTGGACACCTTTTGCAACGATGGGTAACTTTGTGGCTTTGCGGAGCCAGGCGATGTCGTCCCAGTTGAAAGTGTCGTCGATATACCCGCCCATTGTGCGACCCAGACCACCTCCTTTCTTGTCGTTTGTTGCTGCTGCCCCACTGATCGCTGCTTTGGCAAACGTTGCTGATTCGACTTTTACGCGCTCATCTCCTTCTCTTTTGCCTTGTACAGGCCCGTCGATAGTAAACCATACGCCCTTGATCCCGTTCTTTTCTGCGTCTTTGAGAAGAGCTTCCGAAGCCTTGCGGTCCTTGTTGACGTAAAGTTGGAAGAAGAACGGTATAGAGTCTCTTTGTACGCTCCCAGTAATTTCCTTCATGGTAAACGATGCGTTTGTCGAAATACACTGTGCCACCCCATAGCCCTCACACCCCCTCGCCAATGCCAATTCTCCATCTGGATGCGCCAATCGCGCCATTGCAGCCGGACTTACGAAGAATGGTAACTCGACCTTTTGTCCCAACATACTCGTGCTAGTATCAACATGACGAATGTTCCTCAATAACCTAGGTCGGAACCAGATTCGGTCAAACATGCTCTTATTCGCGTCTCTCGTCACGAGATTTGTTGCACCACTCGAGTAAAAGGCCCATGCTTTCTTGCCGAGAACCTTTTCAGCTACGGCCTCGAAGTCATAGCTGTTGATTAGGCTAGTTAATGGGGGTTTAGAAGCAATTGAGAGGGCTGGTTGGGTGGCTTCTGTTGGTGGTGGCTTTAAGAGGTCGTAGGAGGGTGTGGAGGAGGACACTTTGCCAATGCATTTATTGGAATCCAGGGTCTTCGATATTAACGTGGGCGAGTGAACGGAGTTGTAGGTTAACGAGGCGTCGAGACCGGCGTGTTTGGTTATTACTGGATGATGTTAGTTGTGGTTCCCTCGAACGGTATTGCTCAGTGCGTTAAAACATTCTTGAACAACACAAGTACCACTACATAATGGATACTCCAGACGTGCTGTTCTTTCTCGCGACAGCCTCTAGGACTAGCTTTGCTTGTTCAAGAAGCCGACACATAGTTCGCGCTCGTTGTCAAGCACAGGTAGATATTGCTTACTTTCATTGCCACCAGGATGACTGGGAATAAATTCTGTTATGTCCCATACCACATCATCTACCACAATCCAGCAGTCCTGCTCACTCGCGTGCTTCTTGATTTCTTCTACAGAAACAGCCTTTTCTGCCATGTCTTCAGAGGTCTTGTCAAGAAGAGTCGATACGCCAATTGAACTAAAAATGGCAACTCAAATCGGAAACGTTGGTAATCTATGCGAGGCTGTCAATTGGCGGCGGAAGTTACCTCGCTGGCTGATCTACCGATGCTGATTGCGGAGAAGTGGGTCCGGCGGAAACTCCGATGCCTCGCTGGGAGCGACGAGCCTCCAATATCTACAACCGCGGCCGACATCACCACCACTTCCAGGCACCTGACAGCTACGGATATTGGAGACCGAGAGGAGAAGGTCTCGCGAGCGCAATGTCTGCGTTCCGAGTCCGCGCAATCGGTCGAGATACCGCTCCGATGACAGGCGCGTGCGGTATATGAGTGTGATTCGGCATAGTTGTCTCTGATAGCATATCGTTAACAAAATAAACTTCTGACTTCACACCAATCCGATCTTCTCACAAACACCATGCGTATCCTTATTACAGGGGCCGCTGGCTTCATCGGCCAACTCGTAGCGAAGAAGCTTCTCGATGACGAGAAGGGCGCGCATTCTCTCATCCTGACCGACATCATCGAACCGCCCATCCCAGACGCCCGTTCCCGGAGCCAGGCACAAGCCATCAAGGCAGACTTATGTACAGAAGCAGATTCCGTCGTTACCAAAGACATAGATGCCGTCTATGTCTTCCACGGCATCATGTCCTCAGGCGCCGAAGCTGATTTCGAGCTGGGTATGAAAGCAAACTTCGACGCAACCCGCGCATTACTCGAAGCTATCAGGAAGACATGTCCGGGAGCAAGAGTAATCTACGCCTCAAGTCAGGCAGTATACAATAACTCCGTCACACTACCTGTCACGGAATCTCAAATGCCGACACCAGAGACGAGTTACGGTGCAGAGAAGATGATGTGCGAGTACCTCATTACTGAATACACACGGCGCGGCTTCATCGATGGTATCTCACTTCGCTTCCCTACTGTCTCGGTACGACCAGGGAAACCAACCGCTGCAGCAAGTTCCTTCATCAGTGGCATGGTTCGCGAACCGATGAATGGCATCAAATGCGTTATTCCATTAGAAGACAAGCAATGGCGACACTGGCTCTGTTCTCCTCGCATTCTAGTCCAGAATCTAGTCTACGCAGCTACAGATTTCGACATCAACCGCCTCGCAAAGTTCGACCGCTGCTTAAACTTCCCTGGCATCGGCGTTTCAGTGCAGGACATGATGGATTCGCTTGCTAGGGTAGGTGGTAGCGATAAGCTTGCATTGTTAGAGATGAAGGACGAGCCTACACTCAAGAAGATACTATATTCTTGGCCTGCGGAATTTGACAATACGAAGGCTTTGAATCTGGGGTTTACGAGAGATACTGGGTTTGATCAGATTGTAAAGGATTATGTGGACGGGTTGGCGCCAAAAGCTAGTGTGAGGGAGGACGAGAGAACGAGTCAAAAGGTTGAGAATGTACGGGTGAATGCTGTTGAAGTAACAGCGTAATGCTGCGCGCTGTAGTATAGCTAGAATGCATCAATATCTCACATCTCAAGATCATGTATCAACTCTGATCATGCTCGAGTCAGTCAGTACGCTTCCATACGTATGCATAATCTCTATCGCATGGAACTGTTTCGTTCCTTATCAGAATAATCTATGTCCATAACTGAACCAATGTGTTGCGATTTAACCAACACCGATGATCTCATACCTTCTTAATGCGTCTGCTGCATGCAGTGTAAACATATCCACAGCCCGTGACTAGACGCATGTGCTGCATGTTGGCACAATGCATCGGCTCTACATGAATAACCGTGATCGGCACAACCCCCGGACCTCCCCTCAGTTCCCTCAACAAACATTATCGCTAACTCGCCCAGGAGCCGACGGTGTACCACACGGTCTCGTCTCGAGTACATCTCGGTCAACACGCCGTGGTCTCTAGCCTTGGCTGACCACGACAACTGTAATCCACAAGGACGATCTTACCCAGTCAGAAGATATGTCGTACTGCGGGAATCCCCGCACCCCATGCCATACTAAACTCGATAATGCTGACGATTAACACAACGTGATATGGGGAGCTAGAAGGCTAGTATAAGAAGTGGCTTACCCCAGGTTTGTGGGGTAGCGCCATCCACGCTTCCGCTCTAGAGCGCCTCACTACCTTCTTCACTATTCTCGCCGCTCTATCATCGCCATGGACGTCGAAAAGCATTCTCTCGAGAAAGACCTGGCCTTTGAGCACATTGAAGCAACGAATGAATCTCGCAACCCAGTACCGGAGATCCTACGCGGTCACACACCTGAGCAACTCAAAGCTCTCGAAAAGAAACTCGTGCGGAAAATCGATTTTAGAGCCCTGCCTATTCTAATTGTGCTCTTCTTGCTCAACGTGCTCGATCGAAATGCCATCGCTAATGCACGCCTCGGGGGTCTGGAGGCGACACTGGGCATCGACGATGTGCAGTATCAAACCGCTGTGATGGTATTGTGGGCTGGTTACATCTCCATGATGATACCGTCGAACATGCTTCTCTCCATCTTCAAGCCCAGGCTGTATCTGCCAACAGTGGTCATCATTTGGGGTGTCGTATCTGGTGCCACAGGCTTTGTGCAAAACCACGCTGGATTGGTTGCGCTCAGGTTCCTGGTCGGTGTAACGGAAGCGCCGTACTTTCCTGGGTGCATATTCTTTCTCTCATGCTGGTATACACGAAAAGAGCTACCAAGCCGCATTGCTACTTTTTACTCTGGATATACCCTCTCTTCAGCCTTTGGTGGGTTGATTGCAGCAGGTATTGTCGATGGCATGGAAGGCCTTGGTGGCTATCCGAGTTGGCGCTGGTAAGTTGTGACTGTACGGAAGCATGTGAGACATACACTGACTTCGTACTCCCACACCTCAGGATCTTCATCTTGGAAGGAGCTCTGACGATCATCATGGCTTTCGCTGGGTACGCTCTTCTGCCGAACTACCCTTCGAACACGCCCTTCTTGTCACCAGAAGAGACGGCGATGGCACAATGGCGACTCAATCGCGAAAACGATGGTGTAGCAGATGAAGTGAACGAATCCGTATTCGTTGGGCTCAAGCAGGCGTTCTCCGACCCGAAAGTGGTACGTACCTTCTCTGCCTCATGTTTTCTTCCCTGAACACTACGGTCGACGCCGTAAATCGATATCGAGAATTCTTGTCTTCGTATGTGTTGCTAACGTTAGACGCCATCTCTAGCCGCTCCTTGTCTTCATTCAGACATGCGCCGTCGTATCGATGAGCTTCACCTACTTCTTCCCCTCTATCGTGCAGACACTCGGCTTTCCCCGCGTGGAGACACTTCTGCTCACTGCACCCCCCTACTTCCTGGCATTCATTTTCTCCGTCTTGAACTCGTGGCACTCTGGGCGCTCAGGCGAACATTGCTTCCACATCGTGGCCGCATGCGTTATCTCCGCGGTCGGTCAGATCATCTCCATGTCAACACATCAAACCGGACCTCGTTACTTTGCCATGTTTCTGCAGGCTATGGGGTCTTTCTCCGCCTTTCAACTCATTCTGCCATGGGTCTCGGCAACAGTCGCACGGCCAAAGGCGAAGAGAGCGGTCACACTTGCACTGGCAACTGCTGTGTCGAATGCGACAAACATCGCTACCGCTTACTTGTACCCTGCATGGAGCGCACCGTAAGTACAACATCCCATACCATGTGAGCTTGTACTAACTGAGTTACGCAGTCTCTATCGTATGGGCTGCATTGTATTGACAGTAGCACTCCTTTGCTGCGCAACTGCGTCACTGGTGTTGCGTTTCTGGCTGCAGAAGCTGAACCGGAGGTCGGATCAGGTTGTGGGCCTGGAGGGTATTGCCAATGGGCCCGGTCTCCTTTTCCGCTACACTCTGTAAACATGTTGCAAGCACAGACATGCGGTGCAGGTCGCAGTGCATTTTAATATTGCGATACCTCTCGAATTGGTATTGCCCTTACGCTATTAGGTGACACTTCCGGGCCGTAGCGAAGTCTCAAGGCTCCCACGTGTGGTGATCTGTGTGATACTATCACTGAGTAGGTTGAATCGATGACAGCAATTGCAGTGATAATGGGCGTCCTGAAGGACATCAGACCCAGGATGTCGAAACGTCGCCGATTAGCACCTACCACCACCATCAGCCCGCATCCCAACCACCGTATGCATCGAGATATCCTTAATATGCTATTCTCGCCATGGAATCCTTCGTCGCGTTCGGAACCGCGTTACATCAACAGAGCATTTTCCGATAAGAAGTTAGCACCAGGCGCAAGGGCCACGGGAGGGGAGGGCGGTTTCCCGTAGCCGAACCTCATCCTCCATCCTTCACTTCGATATGATACTACCCCACGTTTTGAAACACTGGATTTGAGCTTGGAAAGCGCGCGAAGGATGATGTTGGTTTCGGCGAGATGGACGCGATGCCAACTTTGACAATGATGGTGTTACTCCTGCAGCGTGGGGGCTGAAGCCCGGAGGCTGAACTGGCAAGTGCGTCGCCAACGCTGTTTCAGCCTCGCCTACTCGTGATGCTGCGCCGCATCCTACTCTTCCATCCCAGTACGCCTACACATGGAGAACTAGACGATTACAAAATGGCTATAGCGAACCACTATTATCAACTACCTTTCTTGCGTTACCTCAGTTGCTCTTCGCGAAAATTAACCTAGGCCTCTCGTTTCCATTGCTTCAACATTTAGCACTTACGTACGATCGATCGATCCCCAGGAGACATCAAGATATGCCGTCGACGAATGAACATACCGGAAAACCCCGGTTAACCCGAAAGATCTTGGCAGCTGAGAAGGTTTTCTTTGACGCTAAAGTCCACAGAAGGGAGGATCTTCCTGAGTGGTTACGGCCCATGTGCCATGACATAAGATGGGCACGCACAAAAGTTCCAAAAAGCAACAGAAAGATTTTTGAGCGGGAAATCGAGGACTTTAAGTGTGAGGGGCAGGATGGAGAAACTGCGCAGGATTCAAGATGGAGTTTGAAACCTCGTGCTTATATGTCCAGAAAAGGCCTCCGTAGAGGAGAGATCTCGCCAGCCGAGACTGAGATAAACAACGCACTTGATGACTGCATGAAAGTCAAGGAACAGGCGATCGAGTTGCGCGAGGGAAATGTACCAGAGGGTCCATGGACGTCTCTTCTAAAAACAGAGTTCTTCAAGACCTACAGAGAGGTCCATCCCATCAAGGATGAGCGCAAGTATGTATTCTTGCAGCGGTTCCAAATCCTCTTCGCTGACTATTTCTAGGGACTTATACAACCGGTGGGAGCTGTGAGTTTAAGCATGCTACTTATTCAAGCTCAAGTTAACATTTGTATAGTCACCAGAATCATCTTTGGAACGATTGCCCATCGAAGAGAGCCTTGACAAGCCCAGTACGAACTGAGCCAAAACCGGATTTTGCTTATTTATTCCCAATCATCGATCCCGCCTCCAAGGTGGCGAGGAGACTTCACTTCGACCCCAGAATCAAAAATTTCACGCTTCCCGTTCTCAGCGAGCTGCGGAAGACAGGAGGGGTAATCTCGTCGCCAACCACGGCCTTATCGAACTGTGATCCAACAAAGCTGGACAACATGGGTGCTTTAGATCTGGTGTGCTTTCCTTGGGCTATTGTCGAGGTCAAACATGGCACCGGGAGAGCCGACAAGGCAGAATTCTGTTATTGCCAAGCTGCAAATGGATCGGCTGAAGCGCTCATCATGCGAGAGAAATTGGCCGAGAAAGTAGACTCTCCAAATACCGACGCCCTGGTCATCTTCTCGTTTACCTGCGTGGGTCCTAGTGTTCGTCTTTGGCTCACGTTCAGACACCCAGTAAGTACGATCCTGGTGAATCATAGGTCACGCATGACTAACATCTATTAGCAGAGTAGGCAAATCCAAATGCGCTGCATTTGGGCGACTTCCCTCGAACTTACCTGGGGCGTTTTCGCACTGCGTATGGTAATCGACAACGTGCGCGAATGGGCGTTCAATCAAGTGAAACCCAAGATATGCGAATGGATATCTTATGTCCGCTCGAATCCAATGTCTCAGACCTTCCTTGATCTAGATGGTAACCAAGTCGAACGACGGAGGAGGGCCAAGTCTCTTGAGCCGGACGACGAGAGAGCTCCAGTTCGAGTTTCCCTGCCGGAGAGACCTGCATCCCATTCTAAGCTTACCTCGGCATATGTCAGAGAAAACACTGTATCAAGACACGAGCGCTCACCTAGTCCTCTGGCTCGTCGATCGGCCCCACCGATGAGTCCCTCCGATGACGATGATGAGGAAGAAGAAGAAGAGGACGAGGAGGAAGAGATTTTGGTGCTTGAGGCATACGATTCAGGTGATGATGAAGATTATGTCCTAAGTGATAATGCATCAGGCGACGACGATGGATATACGACTGTGGAAGAAGAATCATATGACACAAGCGAAGATGAGGACGAACCCGATGAAGGATATTTGAAGGATACCGCATACAAGGCCCTGAACGAAGCTGAATTCTTGTTGAAGCTGCGAGGCCGTAAGAGTATCTGCTGTTAAGCTGGTCATGGTTGAGTGTTTGGATCACTGTCTTCAGAGAACGGTCTGCTTTCTTTTTTAGTGTTCGGTATTGCTTTCTCGTAAGTATCAACCTGTAGTATTAGATAGACTGATCTTTATAATGAACGCCTTTGACATACTTCTTCTTCGAAACAGGTTGGCTAATTCTTCCCTTGTCCGTACTGGCCGAACGCCCAGGTGTGTGTGCACCATGTCGTTGCTCGCTGTGCTTTCTCCATCGAATCAGTGTCAAAACTCTTTCATACGTCCGTACCCTGGCAAGGGATTGAGCCTTACCGCGAATCCTCGGGCTGTAATACGTTACTCGTTACGGTTTGCATTCTGAGCGATAAGAGAAAGTGACATTGCCGGTAAAGACGAAATACACCTCCACTCCATTCCAGAGATCGGAGTCGAAATTATCCTGGATCCAACGTGTTGCGTATAAGGCTGAAGAGATCCATATTATCAAAAATCATAGCAGGTGCATCGGCTTCGAACTCATGGTCGCTATTATGTTGGCCAGTCATGAAAGTGAAAGCGTGAGGACGATGTATGTTGGATGACGTGAATATACAGACTTTTACGAGTGGCACAAAAAGCCTTTCTTTTTCTAGAATGTAAGAAGATGACCACCACAGCAATATCAACCTGGTTGGTAGATTCGCTAAGGCGTGCATCGTGGCGTCGCTGTTTTGAGCGTACCAATGTAAAGAGTAGAGCTCTGTGCCACAGGCAAGGATGTTCATTGTTCAATTCCAGGAAGACAATACGGTGAAGTTTCAGCGGCATTCCTCATGTTGACCAGCGGGGAACATATCTACAAGAATCGGCTGACTAGGAAAGCGGATTGAGGATTCGATGAACTGAGCCGGGGTACTCAAGTATTGATGAGCGAGTGTTGAATGGCATTGGAATGAGAACTTGGGCATCATCTGCACAATGCATCAAGAATAGATCTCCACGGCGTCTGGTGCGTGGTGCGTGCAAGACCGGAGTGATACCTTTATACGTTTTGCTGCTTGGTCTTCCTTGTGTGCACTTCTCATGACGCATCCGGTGTTTTGCGACCCATACAACAAAGTCGCGACCAAGAGGCGTGACACCTCGGGCTATCGACCAAGGCTCCACCATGCAGACCCTGAATAAGTTTGAATCTGTCACATTTCCGTAGGGCAGGCAATGAGAAGCGAAGATCGGCGGGTGCCATTCAACGGCGATGGGGGCCTTATTGGTAAGATGAGACGGACCCAGTGGTGCAGCGCTGGACGTCGAGTTGTTAGTAGGGCAGAAGATAGGAGAAGTGGGGTCGGCGTTAGATGGAAGTAGCAGGAGAGGCGCCACATGGGGAAGTTGCGAATCTTCCCCTGAGGCTGAATCAGAGGCCGAGGATGGGCAGCGAGAGAGTGGACGCGAGATGTCGTGCAGGGCGCACTGACGGTGTTGTCGGCAAGGATGGTTTGTGTTTGCCCAGGTCGTTGTCTAGGCAAAGATGTTGTGGATGGTTCGCGCGAGATTTTCAGGCTAGCCCGGTTGGCTCTAGCGCCAACTGCATCATACTGTACCAGCCTCCAGGCCAAACAAAGACTACTCTTTCCTTGGTTGATGAAAGCAGATCGACGTCTGCAACGCGCCTCTCTTTCGCTCAATTACTCTGCTGTCACTTTGTACCTTGGTCTTCAAAGCTCCCGCACCTCGACATGGCAGCTACGCGTTGCTAGAAAATCCTCGACGTGCCCGTACCGTCGCGTCGTGAGCTACACGCACACGTGCCCCTCCCACCCAGCATATCATCTATTACGCCTCGAGACCAGTCCCGGCCGCTCTCCCACGTATGGCAGCAGTAGCTGTCCCTCCGTCGCCCCAGGTTCCAGTAGTCATGTCGAACCGGCGCGTCCCCCTCGCCAACCTGCAAAACGCTACCAATTCCCCGTTACGCGCGACGGCCATAGGAGGAAAGCGCCAACGCTCACACGCCAGTGAGCAGCGCGACGTCCTCTATGGCCAACCGCCGCCCAAGAAACAAGTCATCCAAGTCGATGATGCCGAAGCCCATCGCCATGGCCTGGTCCGTCGGAGTGGGGCCCAGCCCACGGCTTTGACCCGCAAGCTGGAAGCAGCAAGAGAGTCAAAGGCCCCGTCCAAGCAGGCCGCCCAGCGAGCGTCCAACGACTTGGAGACGATCCGACAGTGGCAGCGTCACTATCGCAAGCTGTTCCCTCAGTTTGCTTTCTATTTTGACAGCGTGCCAGAAGCCCAGAAAGACAAGCTGATGCATAGGGCAAAGCACCTAGGTTCCGTACGTCTGCCATGTCCTATCATACTCCCATCTTGCTAACAATCTTCAGCGTGAGGTCAATTTTTTCTCCCGAGAAGTTACCCACGTCATTACGACGCGTTCCATTCCTGCCGACCTCGATGGCAGCTCATCCACCCACAAGGGCACCGTCAACCCGGCTCAGCTGGAGAACAAGAAGTCCATCTTCGATGCCGCGCTGGAGAGGTCTGACCGCGGTGACATCCTGCACAAGGCTAAGAGCTTGGGCATGAAGATATGGTCCGTGGAGAAGTTGCAGCGGATGGTAGACACCATGTTCAACAAGGAGACCGGTGAAGATGCAGCTAGCCACCCGACGCGCCACGCCGTGGCCTCGCAGCATCAGAAGGGCCGTCCTGCTGACCTACAGAGGCTGCTGCAAAACGAGAAGATGGATCGCGACTACGTCATGGCCTCGCAGGACATGATCCCTCTTCGTGGCTACTACGTATACGTACACGACATGGATGAGGTCACCCGACCTGTTATGATCCGAGAATATCAGAAAGTCGAGAAAGAGAAGGGCAAGTGGCCACAGTTCCGTGCCTCGGGTAATGGCAAGTGTCCGTTTGTTGAAGATCCCCATTTCGGCCGCCGACAGCAGGAAGAGCAGGAAGCACGTCGAAGGCAGGCAGCCCAAGCTCCACGGACACGTGCTGTCTCAGCCATGGAAGAGAAGAGTGCTCTAGTAGAGAACAACAACTTGGCCAGGCGTCCCAGTGCCCCTGCTGCCATCGTCAAGGAAGACCACGATGCGGATGCAAAGCCCTTAGACCCCCCGAAGGGCCTCCCACCCAAGCGATGCAACACGGCAGACGGCCCACCACCCATGTTTGGCAGTGCTCAGGCTAGCATCCGAGCCATGCCCCGTTTCATTGCTGGTGAGCCAGTCGCGTCTGGTCTACACCAATCCAACATCACCTCCGCCATCCGCTCGCAGATGATATCCTCGACTGCTGCCGCGCCGCGTGCTGGAAACAGCAAGGAAGTGAACCAATTGAAACGAAAGGTCCTTGAGAAGAACAGCGTACCGTCGGCGAATACGAATAGTGGCCATTCGTCCGTCACAAACGACGTGAGGGCTGCGCTCAGTTATGAGCATTCTCAACCCATGCGAGCAGCCAAGCGCAAGGCTCAGGAGAATATGGGTCATGCTCATGATGACTGTGACGAAGAGAGACAAGCTCGTAAAGCAGCAGCCCTCCGCAGGCGCAAGACTGCTGAGAAGGAATTGAAGCCTGGCTACTGCGAGAACTGCAGGGAGAAGTTCAATGACTTCGACGAGGTACGAATCATGACTGTGCATTTTGCGAGCTATACTAACATTCCACAGCACATCCTCTCACGCAAGCACCGCAAGTTCGCAGTCACCACCGAGAACTGGGTCGAGCTAGACCAGCTCCTCGCCCAACTTGATCGTCGATGAGCCCTACGGCTCATGCAGACTATACGGCCACTCATTGCATCCCTTACAACGTAATGCACGACCTCACTAATACCCACGACATAATTTCCTTTCGCAAACATCTGTTCACTTCTCGCCCCCGGGCGCATGGCATTACTCTGCGAGCGAATACCCGATTCCCATAAGCATTTTCGAGGCGCAGCTTCTGCCTTTCCATCCCTTTTTCTTGGCGACTATAAGCTTGACTTGACTCTCCGATTTTCCTTTACCACAGTATTAGGCCAACGATCTTCGATCCCTGGTGGGCTAACGATGCATGCCGTCCCCTTTGTATATAGCTATTGCGTCCAATGACCTTCGGGTCACAAATTTTGCTGGTTCATTTGCGATACGCAAACCGGCTGGCTGGTGGTGTGCGTGCGCGCGCGTGTGTTTTTATCAGTAAAACGAGGGTTGGTTGGTACTACTATGGAGGTTTGTAGAACATTGTCACACGGGAGAGGTGAGTATACTTGGCGACGAATAAGCGGATGAGCGCCATAATGGAGGCTTATGTTATATATCATTATCGTATCAGATATGTAGAAAACACTAGATATCAATGCGAAAGATGATAAGGTTGATTGGGTGCCTCTTGCTTTTTAAGAAGTGATGTTGGTGTGGTGGGGCGGTGATTGGTTGGTTGGGCAGTTAAACCTGATCACCGCTTCTACCTGGAACGACCATCAATAATCACTTTGCATGAGTCCATGTTCTTTTATTTTGTAATTCCCTCTTAGAATATTGAACGGTCTGTTCATTGTACTCACGCTGAACTCACCTCGCTTCGCAACGATAAACAACCACTCACACAATGTCTCAATCACCAAAAGAGAGGATGCCAGAAGAAGACGACACAACAGAAGCGCCCCTCACCATGGCCGCGTCAGTCGTCTTGACCAACCTGCCGAAAGATACTTCGAAAGCGCTAGAAACTGCCGGGAGCCTCGCTGTACAGAAAGGTATATTGGATTGTTTTCCCATTCATCCATACTATAGGACGGGGATCCACCAGCGATATCACCCTCTTCGCAACTCTCCTTCCCCGTCTCATCCCATCCCACCTCACCTACATTTCTCCTTCCTGTCCTCTCCCCAACTCCACGCAACTAACCAACCCCCCTCTTTTCTCACAGTGACAATTCGTCTCCAACCCATAGGCTCAGCCCCGCACCTAACTCAGCGCATTTTCAAGCTGGGCACAAACTCGACGTTTGCAACGATAGTGCGGTTCCTCCGGAGACGACTCGGTGTCAAGGAGCACGAGAGTGTGTTTTGCTACGTGGGGAGTGTGTTTAGTCCTGGGTTGGACGAGGGCGTAGGGAATCTTTGGAGTTGCTTTAGGCAGGGTGAGGAGCTGGTTGTGGGGTATGCTATTAGTCCGGCTTTTGGGTAAGAGGACTAGGAGACGGACGGGGATGAGGGATGAGGGATGAGGGACGTATGGTGGGGTCATGATGTTAATCCAGCATTTGGGGCATAGTGGATTATGAGTGGAGGGGGGAGCGGGTTAGTAGGTGGGTTGGTTGGGAATGGTGCGTTGGTGCTGCAAGAGTCGAATTAGATGGTTTGGGAACAGAGTCTTTGAGGATGTTTATCGCTCTATAGGACGTCGTTCAACAGTATACTAAAAAGGAACTGACAGGAAGCTACAAAGTCTTCCGTCCAACGAGTGAAAAGAAAAACAAGCGAGTTATCTATACCTGGACTATGCCCCAGGGGAATTTACAATCCCCTTTCACAACTCATATGTGATAGGTCCATCTGAATTACAATTGCAATTATGCTCTCCCCTTGTACTTTATATCAACGCCGCGCTTCCTTCTCTCCCCATTCCTCACACTATCCAACATCTCAACTTCAAGATTACATTACCAGCCCAGCTCATCACTAGACGTTGGATAACCACAGACTGTTATACTCACCAAAAATGTGCGAATACCTGATAACTTACTACAAGATATGTGGCTGCAGCCATCGGGAGATGTCTCAACAATGCCAATACTATTGCGAACAGGCGCATCGTCGTTGTCTTAACGCGAAAGCAATCATTTTCCGTAGGTTGTATTTCGATGATTGTTGTTTCGCACACGGAGGATGTTAAGAGATGGAGAATTGGCGACGCGGAAATGCAGAGAATGCAACGAGGAGTGATCATCCGAGACATGTACGATACCATCATTTGAGGTAGTAGAAAGAAAGAAAGATGAACAAGAACAATGATTCAATTGAACCAAAAGCTCACACTAAAACTAGGTGTGAGACTACGTATATAATGCCACCAACCTACTGGAAGATAAAGACACTCACCCGGGGCTAAAATGCCTTCAATATACCTCGCATCCTTGAAACCAGGAAACTCTTCTTCGAACTCCCATCGCCGTTCACTTGACAAGCCCTCAACCTCCCAGCAACTCACCTCCCCCAGAACTTCCATCCCCTCGTCCAAATCAACACGACTAGTATTGCTCATATCCACTCCGCCCCCCTCCATCCCTCTCGGATACAATCGCTCCGTCTCCTCCGGGGCATACAACCTCACATACTTGTACCCCACGACCTGTGCAAGTATATTGTGGTACGGATCAGTATGTAGAGGCGAAACAGTCCCCTTAGGTCCAAACCAAGCATTAAGCAATGGTTCTTCGAGCTTCGGGACAGGTTTAATGTGTATGAGGTGCGGGGAAGGGGCGGGTGAGGAGTAGCAGTAGTCAGGTATGCTAATATCGGCGCGGAGAGATGGAATCTGGGCGAAGAGGTCGTGCTGAGCTAGGTAGCCTGTCGGTGGTGGTGTTGGCGTTTGGCTGCCATCAGCTCCGTCTCGATCAGGGCTACCCACATTGTCCATGTATGGTGTAGCTGAGACAGCGTCTTTCGCACCTTCGAGCATGTATGTCTCCATGAAGTCGCGGAAAGTGGTTATGCGCTGACCCCAGCCTTCGTCTGTATAGCTCTTGCCCACTTCAACGGGTATGAGGCGTCTACCACCGAGTGTCTGCTCGAGCAAATATGCTGGGCTGTTCCACGGCCGCTCGTCGAGTGCGGGCCAGTGCTGTATCGCACCTTCGATAATAACAGGTGTATGCATAGCCGTGTCACCAACTCTCTTCTGGAAAGCCTCCAGACTGAGTTCTCTCGTTCGAGGTATCGCGTGTCGGATGGTGGGCGAGGGATTGGGTAGCACCGTCGGGAAGCTCGTTGGTACACAGGAGGTTTGACGCGAAAACGATAGCATTCTCCGTTTGTTCGGGGGCTCGGAAGCGTCAGCGTCGATGTTGGAATTTCGTCCTGGAGGCGTTAGGACAGCTTTCAACGCTGCAAACCACAACTCCACGAGCTCCTCTCTCTCGGGTGCGCCTGTCAATATAAGCGTCATATCCAGTGTTCGTACCACGTCGTCAACCCAGGCATTCTTCTCAGCAGCAGCATTGCTTCGCTCTTCATCGTATCTACCCTTTGCGAATTGGCCATGCTGGTCGTCTACCACCTTCACCACCTTCCATAGACTCGCATCCGCGTATAGCCTGCGCCAGCACGTCTTCACCTCCTTGTACGGCACATCGTGTAATTTCTGATAGGCGAGCTTCAATGCTAGGTCGGAATCAGAGGGAAGCAGCGCCAGCGCAGCGCGTCCGCATTCACGAATCGGGTCGGTTTTCTGCGTGTGGGTGAGTTCTTGACGGGTTAGCTGGATGACTTCGAGGAGCGTGGGCGCGTCATTGTTCATTTCTGACGTGCTACCAGATGATGGCGGGTGGGTAGGTCGTGCTACGGCTCGAAGGTTCAAGCTGTTGCTAATAGTGCGAGCTATGACCGTCGCGTCGCGCCCTGCAGCTTCCTTCCCGCGCGCCGTTGAGCAGCCAAGACACTGTTGAATAATATCCGAACGCTACCTGTTCCACAGGGGCTCCAAGCGCTGGATGCTGAACCACTTACTCGGTAATCAACGTTTTCGAGCGATTGCTTTTTAGCGTAAAAACCATGTTACATTCCTACGACATGTACCACGTACCCGGATGCCAGGACCACAAGAGCCGAGAACGTCTATATTAAACTTCATTTATAGGTCGGCAATTTACCGCCGTAAACGACGCCACAGCGACGTCAAGCGTCGTTCGATATATTGTTATTGCTATAATACACATGCGTCTTGCTGCCCGACTATAGATCGTGATTTACTCTGCGACATCCAGCCTGAGATGTCTGATGGTTCCATGGGTATCGCGTTCGTAGCCCATCAATCGTAAATCCATCAACGCCTACCTACGTAGGTGGATATCGTGCGGGTACTGAATAAAGGAAAAGGGAAGCATTAGGCAAACTATGCGAATGCAAATGAGGCTGCGAAGGCCGGGGTATCACGCAGGGAAAATGTAAAGGAGGAACGGGTGTCGTCAACCAAGAAGGCCGCCGGCGTCCTGTAGGGACGGCACTTTGCGGCCTTGTTGGGGAGGATTGCGTCGTGTAGACGAGGGAGGCGGCGCAGAAGAGAGCAAGCCTCCAGGATCTTTTAGCGATGGTACATCATAGCTTTGTTGTGTCGAGCGCGTCGATGTGCGTCGTATAGGCGCGTAGCGTGTCTGGCAAGAAGGGGGACCGGCTGAGGAGCCTGAATGTGGAGATGGAGTCGACAACGCTTCTTCTTCTTGCTCGCGGTCTTCGGAGAGCAAGCCCCCGGGATCCTGCAACTGATTGGTGGGCCGGACTTGAGTCATCTCGTAGTCTTCGGACTGTTGGGAAAGTCGGGAGTTGCGTCGTGCTTGAGGCAGAAATGCGCGTGCGTTTGGCATGATCGTGTTTGAGGCTCTGGACCCTCTTCGTGGCTGTGACTGGGCTGCAAAGTCGTGCGCAATGACTGAGTCGGTGGGTGAGGGAGCTACGGCTGGATTCTCCAGTAGTCCACCAACGTCGAACCATGACACGCGCCTTGCACGAGGACTGGGCATCGGATCTCGTATGTCTTCGACTGTCATGCTTGGTCGACCGTTGCACGGAAGCATACCAGCTTCCTCATCGGGGAACTTCCAGTTGTTGTTTGTAAAAGGACCGGGTTGTCTGGGCGATGATAGGAGGTCGAGGTCCGCCACGGGAGCCGGTCTCGGTAGGCTTGTCGACTTATCGAGCAGTTCAGGTTTTGTGCGGTATCCTAGTGACCTTGCAAGATCCTCATCACTGCTACCGGTCTGGTCCGTGAAGCGGCGTGTTGATCCTCGACGCTCCATACTGTCTGTGGTAGATGGTGCTTTGAACTTTGGTTTCTTGACACCTCGGTCGCGAAGAAAGGAGCCTAGGACGATGGCGTTGGAAACGATGGTGGCAGCCAGAATTTCTGAAGAAGCGAATACGGTGCGGAACTGCTGTAGACCTGATCTTTGCATTACCAGAGGCATTCGAGCGCCAGTGACAACGATTAGAACGATCGATAAGGAAAACAGCAAGACAAGTGAGATCTTCCGCTTTAATGGCATGCTCGAACGCACGATGATCGGGATCGGAAAGGCGATAAGGAAAACGTCGGTGACGATGTCGCAAATGCCCATGGTGAGTAGCTGCGCGTAGCCCTGTCGGCATTGCGGTCCCGGATCCGGGACAACTTGCCAGTAATGGGTAGTAGGATGGCACTCTGCGAGTGTGGCAATCAGAACCATGAGGAAAGTAACGACAAGAAAGATGCGTATGGCACGCAGTCCCCAATCGTATCCTCTCTTCCAGAAGCGTTCCGTCAAGCGCTTCAGGAACTCTGAAACGGTGAACTTGGCCATCCAGATGCTAGCATGGGTTAGTCACACACTGATTCAAGTTGATGACTGCACATACAATAATGCATAGAAAATCCTCGCTGCGAGGACCATCTGAGAGCCGATCTCGCGGTGGCGGATGATGGTAGGGTCTGTCAAATTCGTGACGTTGACATTGTTGGTGCCCCAGATCAGGACCACGTGAGCGAATCCCATTCGCGCAAACAGTGGGATGATGCTGAGTGCCATGACCTTGTCCTCGCGGAAGAGTCTTTCATTACGAATATAGCGGCCCGACAGTCGGACTCCAATGATGACAGCGGAAAATACAGTGCACCACCAAGAATACAGGAGAGTCGGATTGTTGGCCATGCGGGTTCGGCGTAGCGGGGGAGAGTCATTGTAGATATCGCGTGATATTATCATGCTGCTGTTGAGCAGTCCTCACAGACTCTCGCCTCCGTAGAGGGGGAGCTGTTTGGATGTCGCGTGCTCAGTGCCGATTTTGAGTGGCAGCGGTAGCGGTGACGAGTTGGGAATGGCGATAGGTGAGCGCTTTGACCATGTCGCTCTTTCTGGCTGACGTTGCTGGCGTACCGAGGATCTGGGAGTGTCAAGTGGGTATACTTGCAAGCTAGGCTTGTAGCCTCGACGCGAATTTGTCGACGGTGCGACGATGTGCGGTGAATGAAGATGAAGAGAGAGAGAGACAAGTCACCCGGCTGGGAGAGGTGTGATAAACGCAAGCCGCAGCGCGCGTGTGAGTGGGTCTTATCGCAACGGCAGACCTTTGGCCAGGATTTCGGAGGTACGCCACATATTCGCTGGAGCCCGCCTCGATCGTCCATGGCGCGCGGACTGCCTGCTGCCATGCCCTGCCAACCCTAGCGTTCTTGGATCCAACTCCTGGTCCTCGCTGATAGGCGTTGCCTGACGACGCTGTGACATGCTCTGAGATGACCCAGGGTCAGAGTTGGGACAAGCATGATTCTGGCAGCCGCTGCTCGAGTCCAACGGCGAGCATCTTCACGGGAGGACCTGTTGCTGGCCGTCGGAGTCATCCCTGCAGCCACCTGCATAATTCCAATGGTGCTACGCTTCCGCTATGGCGCTTGTGGCCTTTGTCTATCTCTCGACAACGGCGATTGGGGCCTGTTGGCGAAGAGGCGGGAGGTCAAACACCCCTCAGACCCCTCTGCAGCGGCGCTGACCGCTCGGAGGCTCCTCGAAGCATTGGCAACTCACACCCAAGGCCAAGAAAATCAGCTTCGGCACGCCGGCGGAGATATTCACCAACTCTCGATGACACTGACTGCTGCTGGATTGGGACTCGAAACAGTCCCGGATCCCGGGGTTGAGGCCGCCAATATGGCGTCCAGCCTAACCAGTCGGTGCACAAGTGTGCGCATTATCGCACAATTCTTACGAGTCTCGCCCGGCTATCAATACTGTATGAGATGCGCCATTTCGCAGAGCGCAAAGCAGGAGGCCGAGGGCGATGACCCCCACCTTTGTTGTCGCGTGGTAGAGTGTGCCCTGTGCGTCTGCGCCTGCCTCGTGAGACCCTGAACCCCCGCCTTCCGTTTCGCACCTGCCTTTGCGAAGCACTCCCTTCTGAGGACAACAACAAACATTGTAACATCACATAGGGGTGTCATGTAAGATTAGAAAGCACAAATACCCCCTCAATATATCGAGTACATGACCCTTGCCGAGAGATGACGTTGCAGCTTCGTGGACGGCCATACCAGTCATCGCCGCTGCCGCGGAAGCGCAGCGGAGTGACCATCCATAATTTCCCCTCCACATTCCTTTGTCCATCAACACCTAGCCAACGATCCTGCTTCGCCTGGTAGCACAAAAAGTTGGGGTCCTATATTTGGCGCCCAGGAACAGTATGGGCCTCTAAGTACTCGTGTACAGCATTTACATATGCCACGATGTAGAATTGACATTGCCGAGCCTCATCGTACTACAAACGATGCGCTCCCCGCTGAAAGCGCTCTCCAAGATCCTCCATGCGCTATACACGAAGAGACAAACCACCCCTATATCCCAAAATTCCACTGACAGTCAACCGCTACATGCCTCCGAGATTCCTCCACGGCCGAATATTCACGTGCAGGTCGCAAGAGACCTTATCCGTGGCTCTGATCGAGAATAGAGCCGCAAGGCTTAGACTCGCGTGATCGGTCCTGATGGTTCCACATGTTCAGATGCACGATAATCAAAGCCACTTCGGCGAAGTTCCCAGTGTCAGCAGAATCATACGAATCACAAGGGGGATTTGCGATGTTCAAGAGCTACGAGCTATCTTAATTTCCCGACTTATTGCCAACTCCAGGGGAGCGAGGCGACAGATGGACATGGCGCAGAGCCTACATCATCGTTCAGCGCGTTGCTAGCTCGTCAACTACCAATGTGGGCTAAGTGGGGATACATGTTCCCTTATGACGCTGAGGTGCATGCTGGATGATAAAATTGTCGACAATGTCTTCCGCAGGCTGTAATGCCAATGTCCGTATGCTGCATGAGTAAACCACATCTTGGTCCATGCTAGAGACAATCCGACATTGGATGAAAGGGAGATCGACGCAGGGGGATCTGTCTGGGACCCGGCATGCAAAAGTGGATCAGCAAGATGAATATCATGCACAGGACAAAGAGATGCATCTAATATGTATACATTTGGGCATGTGTACTGTGAGATTTTGTGAGACTGACTGTGACATTGGTCCTATGTTGCGTCATGAGGGGAGAATCAAGACCACCTGGCCGTCTTTCACATGTGAAACAGGCCGAACGCTTGGGCCTGCCACATGAACAAGAATCGCATCCGCGGAAAGGACAAGTCGACACGCAGCAACTTGGTTTCAGGCATTGTGTGAATGATGCACATGTATGCCAATGACACGATTTGCTATGAAACCTGTATGTGCAGAAGTGCGTCGTGAGTGGCAGTGGAAAACAAATCATGGCCAGGCCATTGTGGAGTGGAGCCATGACGTTTTGGTGAATGTGCCCAACAAACTGCTGCGCACACGACAGTACCCGCACAAAACCATAGCAGCACCTTCTACCTCTCACACTCTCCCATACCCCAGCACCTTGTCACTATACTCCCACACTACTACTTGCCCTCATCTACCCGTGATCATACCCCTCCACGGCCAAGTCCTCAGCGATGTCAGGAGCTCCCCGAGTTGAGCTTAACAACACACAAACCGATTTCGACCTAGCCACGCCCAACGGCACTCCGGATCTCATAAATCAAATGGACGGCTCTCCTTCCCACGTAAACGGCAGCGCAAACAGTGATTTGCAGAACAGTGCAATCAAGGCAAAGAACGGAATTCTAGAGAGTGAGGTGAGTGGGACAGAACGCCCTCGACCCTTACCGAGACGCAAGCTAACGCCATATATCGCAGTTCTTATCTGCCGCCCGCACAACACCTGATTTCCTGAACTGACACCCACAAAGCAGCTTCACACGCCATGAACGCCGCAAACAACCACCCGAGCGTGCAGAACGCCAAGCAGACCGTTATGAACGGTAAGGTATGTACACAGACTCGCCCCTACGTGTTCCGGACCGCAACTAACAGCCTGCAGATATCTGAACGATGCGCACACGACCATTGCTAAACTTTGCAGGCCCCGTTGCACAGAATGTCAAGGCAGAGGGCGCAAAGACCCGCGACGAGTTTGCTGATCTGGCCAACTCCAAGACGATTCCCGAGCACAAGGCCGCGACTGGTCAGAACCTCACTCGTAAGGCTACACTAGTGTTCCATGTCGACAACGTAGCTAACACACACACACCAGACTACCACAGCATGTTCTACCGCCTGTTGAGCTGGAAGAACCCCCGCGCTACCGGCATCGCTTTTGGTGCAACCGTCGTCTTCATCTTCGCCGCACGATACCTGAATCTGATCCGCTACATCTTCAAGACCTCCTACATGGTACTTGGTCTTACCGCAGCTGCCGAAGTTGTCGGACAAGTGGCTATCGGACGTGGTCTTACTTCGCAGTTCAGGCCCCGCCAGTACTACACTATCCCCAAGGCTTCGCTTGAGCGCATGACGGACGACTTCGAGCAGCTCATCAACTTCTTTGTCATCGAGTCTCAGCGGATCATGTTCGCCGAGAACGTCTACGTCACCGTTGCTGTGAGTATGCCCTTGGGTTTAACAATGAGTACAGCTGCTGACTATCCCTTACAGGCTTTCTTCGCTTCCCTCATCTCCTACTTCCTCATCAAGTTTGTCCCGCTCTGGGGCTTGGCCTTGATCTCGACATTCATCACCTTCCTCGGTCCTCTTGTGTACATTCAGAACAAGGAGGTCATCGATGCCCAGTTGGAGAAGGGTCTCAACATTGCCAACCAGCAGGCTCAGCAGGTCAAGGGCCTTGCTAACCAGCACGCCGGAAACGCCATGAAGACTGTACAAGGCTACACCCAGCAGGCCACGGCCAAGGCCCAGGAGACCGTCAACCAGTACCGCGGGCGTTCCACTTCCCCAGAGGTCAAGAAGGAGGCTTTCCCTTCAGCTCCCACCCACGCACCCGTTGCCGAGGCTGAGTCTTCTTCCGACGAGTCCGAGACTGAGGGCGAGAAGATCGCAGCGGCCCATCCTGCCCTATAAGCTTGATCTTCCCAGACCATCTTACTCACCTCAACCTCGAATACGCTACGATCGATCTCTAACACGCACACACATCTTCATGATGCTCACGCATGACGACTTATGCTCATCCTGAAATTGGAAACAAGGCCAGCGTTGTGTATCATTCTTCCTTTAAAAGCCTTTTCTTGGTCGCGTCTCTAGTCTAGCGCCTTCTCCTGTTTTCCCCTCTACATTGTCCTGTCTGTCATGGGTGGGGTTCCGGTACTGTAATCATGGTAACATGGGAGTTGTTCTTTCTCGTCATGTAGTTGACGGTTGATATAATGAAACATTGTCTTCTTATTGTTGTCTACTTGAATGCGTGATGTCATGGATTAGACCACGGGTAATGATTAAGAGATGAGGCGTCCAACTTTGGCCCCAAATCTTCTGCAGGTTGCCTAAGAGTGTTGGGATACAGGTTCATCCATCATTGTGGCCGAACCGGTTTCAGGTATAGTTTTGTCGAATGACACCAGAACATGCTCTCTGTAGACAATAGACTCTATTGTGAAGGAGCACGCCCACGTCTTCCCCCAAGAGCTTTCTGCATGTATCGGAATGTGAATTACTTGAACCACTCTATGTCACATTCACACAAGGCGGGGCCAATTATAGATCAGCGGCTAAGTCGGCACATGGACCGTGCGCGACCAGGCAACCGTCTTGTTGCGTCAATGGGGCTGGACTTCGCCTCCTTGGCCGGTCGCAGTCCGTCTTGAACGCCGTGCCGCTGTGACAGCGCCAACCTGTCACTTCACCCTTTTACCTGTTGTCAACTCTTCTTGTCTTCTGTTTTATTCTTTTTACCCTTTTCTACCATTCGAAGCGACCGCGACTTTTCGATATACGATATATTTAAGACAGTTTAAGGAACAGGCTTTACAGAGGACATCGACAAGATGACGATCCTCGTCGAGCTCGCTCGTCGCGCCGTGTCGCACCCGCAGACGTCTTCGTTCGTGAAGCGCGCCTTGGGACGTCCTGAACCAATGTCAAGGCCTGGAGACATGTCTATCAGCATCTGGCAGGTTGTCCCTATCTATGCCACCATCTTCATTGCCGCCATAGGCATCAGCCTCGTACGTCCTGGTCTCCATCTTCCCGACTGATGTCCAGGACCATGTTGCTAATAAGACATCACTAGTTCTCCTACATGCTCAACCAGGTCATCGTAACCCTCTGCATGGTCGAGTCCCCCGTCGCCGCTATTACCGTTACCCACGAAACCTCCAACGACAAAGAAGACTCCAACGAGAAGGAAACACTCCTCGAAGCCGGTCCAACAATCACCCTCGTGAACGCGAAGCCCATCACAGCGTCCATCCGCGCTACCGTCCGCCACCTTGTCGCACACGCCGGCCGCTGGTCCCGCTTCCGCGGCTTCAAGATTCATTGTTTCTACTCGTTCCTGTCTGGCCTAAGTACGACGTTCTTCTCGGGGGCCCTGTCTGGCATGCCTGGCTCAGCTGTTGTTGGTGCTGCCATTAGCGCTGCCCTTCTCGCCAACGTACACGCCGCGTGGACACACAAGGTTGTCGCTATGCCCACCGACGGCCTCTTCTGGGGGCGTATCCCCTCCAAGGCCCACTGGAAGACTCTTGCCGTCCCCGCCGCGCTCAAGGCCGTTATGCCCTATGTCAGCATGTACCTCACAGCTGGCGTATTCATGCTGCTTAAGCTCAACAAGCTTGGATACGAGGGTCATTCTATTGAGACTTGTGCAGACAAGATCGGTCTCATCGCGAGGGTCCTTGCTGTCATTGTGTTTGCCATCACCTGCACACTTTTCCTCTGCCTCCCTGCCATGGTCACCTTGGTCCGTATCGAAGCTTCTCTGCTCCCCGAGGACCAGGACACCATCGTTCCCTTCGATCGTACCTTTGGCGGAAAGGTCGTTAGCAAGATTATGGGTGGAACTGGTGTCGTTGGCTTCCTTGATGCCTGGAGGAGTTTCAACTGGGAGGCCAGACGCCGCCTTATCAAGTTGTTCACCAAGAACTTCTTCATCACGATTGGCATGTTCGTTTTTGTGTTGCACGTTGTCGCAATTGAGGCGTTTGTCTTCATGGGGGAGGCTGCTGGTGAGATTTTAGCGCAAGCGCATAGGGAGATGGCCGTGTCTAACTAGTTGCGTAGTGCTTGCAATGGCTGCTATCCCTTACCTGATTATTGAACAATCGTGAAGGGTTGTCATCACTTTTTGGATAAGATTGATCTTGGGGTTGGGGCTGGGTTTGGACTTGGACAAGATGGTGTCAGTGTCATGGAAGAGCATGGGATGATGCATTTATTAGCAGTATTATAACTTACTTATACTTTCCTTGAATATGTCATCTCATAGCCCACACTATATCAATAAAAACTCATCTTTGCAGGCTAAACACTACTACCAAATCATGCACCTGCTGTTGTCTGAATGATGCTTTCTAGAGGTTCATTAAACGTCCTACTTCTCACGCTATCGTTCCTGTGTACGAACCAACAAAACTCACATCGTTGAAGCGTGCTAACATAGTAGTAGTTTATTTATTTCATTCAGATACCATAATTGTCAATCGTGATGCCTTCACACATCCATCCATCCTATCCTTATCCCATCTGTCTAAAAAAAAAACGCCACGCTATGCCATGCCATGCCAAACTAGTCACTCATAAAAAAGAAAGACGCCCCAATTGCCATAGCCAGCTTACCCATCATCTTCCTGCGCCACGACAAGAAAACAACAAGAAGACGACAGAAAATGAAACAAAAAAGTCTGGGGAAAAGAATATGCAAGATAGAAGGGTATAATCGCCTGAACATGCTACTCCCCTTTTGTCGTCGTCGTCGTCGTCGTTGTTTTCGTCAAGCTTGCTCTTGACCATGATAATTTTTTTCTCTTCTTCTCTCGTCTTCTGGGAGAAAGGCCAAAGAGATAACTGCCAAGATGCAGTTCATGTACGCCAGAATGCGTAAATTTTCCTTCTTTCTCTCTCTTTCTCTCTCTCTCTCTCTCTCTCTCCACTCATTCCTTGTCCATACCGAGCTTGTTTATCAGCGACAAGATACGTGTCGACGTCTTCCTGGGCAAATACCCCTCCGTGGAATCCGAACGCTGCGAACAGTCTACGCTAGAACGACCTGCCATCTCTCTTTTTAGCACAAAAGCGTCATAGCAAGAAGAGACTTCCAATTCTCCTGGGAAGCGTGCGGGCGTGTGTGCATCAAACAATCGACGCACTCTTCTTATGATGTTGCGTTTGTGTCTCGCAAACTTTAACCTTCTTCACCACCTCATCCTCGCCCTGAACAACCGCAACACCCACATTGATTCCCCTCGCCTTCTCATCCACGCTCTCCACCGTGGATTTGAAGATGGCTTCCTGTTCCACCAACTTTAGCCTCTCCTTCTCCGCCTCAATCTCTAGGTTCGCTTTATCTTGTCCCGTGACCACACCCTTGAGAATGACTTCCAAGTCTGCTAATCTAACTGGCTTGATCAAGAAGAGGTTGATCCCGCTTGAATTAGCTTCTTGCTGGATATCCGTATCGGCCACACCGGTAAGTGCGATGATGGTGACTTTGGGTAGGTTATTTCGGATCTCATGAGCGCGAATCTGCCGTGTAGCTTCTAGACCGTCCATGACAGGCATATTGATATCCATCAACACAACGTCAATACGCGATTCTTCTGTTGCAGCTTCACCGTCGTTGGCGACGGTAGCGGCTTTATACGATTCGAGCGCTTCGAGGCCGTCGGCGGCAAGGACGTGGTGGTGTCCGAGTTTGTCGACAAAAGTGCGCAGAAGGCGGAGGTTGATGGGATTGTCGTCTACGCAGAGACATCTCAACGCGCGCGTTGGTTTGAGGTATTTGGAAGCCTTGGGGGGAGTGGTGTTGTGGAGGGACCGGATTTCGGGGGCACTACTAATGCTCGTGAGTTGGGGTCGGGAGGATTCTACCACGTGGAGGTGGTCGGTACGACGGGGTGCTGATGCTGGTCTTTCTTCTGTGAGGTTGAGTTCAGTTATGCGGGGAATGATGGAATCGATCTTGTGAGGCTGTAGCTGTGTTTCTGCTCGTTTTGCGTGGCGGTCGAGGCAGGAGGCAAGGGCTTTCGCCATCTTGTGTGGTCCGACGGGTTGACCAATGCATTCGAAGATGATGCCTGGCACCGTGATAGCCGTTGTTGATTGCGCAGCTGCCGCACCCTGACATATGACAATAACGGGGGTTGGAGACACTTTACCAGGATTCTGGCTGTACGTAGTTCGCAACCCTTTGGCACAGGTCTCGGTAGCAATTATCAGGTCTGGCTCAGACGCATTGTCGCCGTCCTGGCATCTTTCGATGCCGAACCATTCATCGCAAAGGCTGTCGAGTGCCTTCAACGATAGCTTCGAGGCGGTTTTGTTCTTCAGATCCCTAACACGGAACTCTTCCTCCTCGTGGAAGCCTTCAAATCGCACTTTCAAGCCCTTTGTGCGCTTTGTGATTTGCTGTAGTTGCAAGTCCTTCTCTCCTTCTAGGCCGGTGGCGCAGACGTTTGGTGACATTCGTGACTCCTTCAAAGGGCATGTGACTGTGAATTTGGTGCCGCGCTCTTTTTCACTACGCACCTCCACCTCTCCTCCTAGCGATTCGACGATCTGTTTGACAATAGACAGACCCAGACCCGTGCCTTGACTCAAAGGATTCTCTTGTGCAAAAGAGTGGAAAAGCCTGTTATTGATGTAGTCCTCCGACATTCCAATGCCAGAATCAGTGACCGAAAACCGGAATTCGCACTCGTCGTCGTCCTCAGGTTTTCGCTTAACCTCAAGCTTGACCTTGATGTATCCGCCAGGCGTGTACTTTAAACTGTTTCCAAACAAGTTCATAATGACTCGCCGCCATGCCCCGGGCTGTGTGCGGAAGACGTAGTTGTCGCTGTGGTTGATATCGAGAATGATGGATATCGGCGGTTTGTTCACTTTCGAAGTGGTTAACTCGTATG